TGCACCGAAATGAACACAAATGCAAGCAAACCGTTCCAGAACTCCCAAGAACGGGGCACGGCTTTCCGAAAATGTTCGACTTTATAAAGCCGGACGCAAACAACATAAGAGAAGAAAACGTACAAAGTGCTGCCTCCATGAATGAAAAACAAAAAAATGCTGTTCTTGCTTCTTGTCTTGATGCGCATTTGCTTATTTTTCTCACCCACTGGGCTCCGCTTCCACAAGCAGAAGCCATTCATTGGCCTAGTTGCAACGCCTGGGTGAAATCATGTCACAAGCAACATGCCATGAAGTCTGCTGGCAACTGTTTTAAGTTTTAAAGAAGGAAAAAAAAAATGCGATCACGTCTCCTTTAAAAGAAGGCACGGTAGTCGTCGTCGCAACGGAAACGATCTTTGTCGTCGGCGTTCACCTGCGATGGCGTGCGGGTCGGACGAGTACTCCTGCGCATCGAGAACGCCGCAGTCCAGGGAGGCTTTCAGCTTCTTCAGTTTGGAGGCTGACGGAGCCACTCGAAAGAGGCCCTGCACACACACACACACACACACACACACACATGTTGCAAAGCGCCACACTATGTCACAAATGAAACTCAAAGAATAAACACGTGAAAGTTTCAAGTTGCCAAGCCACACAGGAAGTCTGCCGTTTTGATTTGAAGTGGCCCTTTTCAATTTGGCCCACCGCCGGGGCTCCCTTAAAGATAAATTCTCCTTCAAGAGTATGTCCAATTGTCACGAAATTTGGACCTCGCCTAATTTAGAGAGGAGCGACGCCATTTTGCAAACATTTTCCGTCGCCGTTTTTGCGTCGGGACAGAGCACAGCCACGCCGTACTAAGTCAGACTTGGATGGCGCATTTGGCGCGTGACGCCAAGTGACTTTTGCCATGCATGGGTACATTTCTCGCATTGGATCTCATTCGCGAGTCGGCGAACGTCGTCGCACTTGAATGGCGTTTCTCCGGGCGACAGACGATCTGCGCCGACTTCGGGCGGACACACGAGGCAAGGCGTGACGGCGGTTGCGATCTACCTCCTCTTGCATGCCGCACTCCAGCAGCATGGTGACGCACGCTTCGATGGGGAAGGCGATTTCCCGGCCGCTAATGTTCAGGTGCTCTCCCAGAGACTTGCCAAACGACGGCTTCTCCGCCCACGCCTCTGCAATGCAGCGCCGCGTCCACAGTCAGGCCATCGACAAACGCACGCCAGCGCAACTTCCTCGCCGCGGAGCAAATAGCGGCCTCGTCGCCCGCCCGATTTGTCAGTTTGCCAACGTCCGATGAAACGGACGGTCTTCTTTTAACGCACAGGTGAGGTAGGATGTGAACAAGCGCCGGATCGGCCACTCGCTATGAAGAGTTCTTCGTGGGGCCACTGGGCCGGGGACCCGGAGGACGGCGTCGCCATCTCGTTACATGGACTTTGAGCTCCTTCTAACTAACGCCGGACAGGACAAGATGGCGGCCAGGTCAATCCCACCCACCCCATCTGCGGCCCCTTCTCAAGCTTTCTCATTTTTCCCCAGATGGGGTTTGGGAGTTTTTCCTCGCCCTCCTGCGGGCACGCTCATCCGGGGGATGAGGTCAACATTTGTGCAGGACTGTTTGTGAGGAAGAAAAGGAATGCCTGTGACGCTGAGGCCTCGTCCTCCTTTGCGCCACTCAACAGACCGCGGGTGGCAAGTTTCTCCTTGACGAGACAGCCGTTGGGCAAATCTACGTCTCGCAGTCGTCAAAGAGATCTCGCTCGCGGCGCAGGGCGAGGGCAGGTACGGCCACGCAGAAACACGCGCGCTCACTGGCTCACTGACCTTGGTGCGCCTTAATTTGGGGCAGGATGCTGTTGAGAATCTCCAGCGACTTCCTGTGATATTCGGCTTGCGTCTCGATGAGCTGTGGAAGGATTCCGAATAAGAACGCGGCGGGATTACTTTGACTGTACGTGCAGAGAGAGCGCACACGGAAAGAAGGCGGAGGATTTCCCGCGTACTTACGGTCTGGAAGTAAGTTGCATAGTCCATTTCTTTGGCCACAAAGCCGTACATATCGGCCGAGAGCTGATCCTGAAACGAGACGAGCCACAAAGGGCCTCTTTGAAGGCGTCCCAGGTAAGACACGGGACATGGTGAGACGAGGCCCGGCGAGTCTGACCCTGCAGATCTCCATCCGAGTGGCCGCCTCCTCCATCTCCTCTCGGAGCGACTCGGACTTGGCGCCGGGCTGGAGGGCGCTCGGGTGGCCGGACGACTTGGACGACTGCTGGAATCTGCGGGCGTTCCGAAGGATTAGTAGGACCTTGGACTTCTGGTGTCTTTTTTAGGCCTGACTTTTGGGTCGCTCTGCTCGCGTGACGGACACGGCGACCAAATGTCGCCCGAATATGCCAGACTGGCCTCCGGGGCTGAATTTGCAACGCGATTTCGCCGAGCGCCGCGGCACCGATTTTGGAGGCTGGCATCAGAACGTCGTCATCCAAAGATAGGAGCCCGAGTTAAGTTTCATCTTCACCTCGTTCGCGACGAGTCCATGTCCAAGACCAGTTTGGCTAAGTGCTTTCTTTGTTTCTGTATGTTGGGGATGTCCACCTGAGAAGCAGGAAGACGAGGTCAGTAGAACGCCGTCAACATGCGGCCAGTGGGCGCATTAGGCGGCGTCCTGGCACCTCGGCGAGCGCGTAGAGCGGCTCCACCACGTCTCGCTCGATCTGGAGCTCAAAGTCCATGAGCTCCTGGGCCAACTTCTCCTCCGTCTCGCCGCACATCTTCAGCATCATCCTGTTCGGACAGATCCGGTACAATGAACGCGCGGACGGGCGTTGTGAGGGTAAAGAGGATTTAATGGCGGAAAAACGAAACGAAAAAGAAAGCCCCAGACTTTTTCCCCACGCCTTGCGTACAAATACTTGGCGCCGTGCCCATCGAGCGTCAGATTAAACAACCGGGTCAATCTTTTGCCACTTCCGAAAATGTGGCTGTGAACGAGCCGTTCGGAATTTCCCAAGCGTGACTGTCGAATGGAAAAATGCGTGCTTTGGCGCCATGTTGTGGCATCCTCATGCCAAGGAACGATGTTGAAGTGATCGAAGGAGCTTCTGTTCGACAGGGCCAAGCCTTGTCGAGTTGAAAAGCTGTCCTTTGCTGCCATCTTGTGGCCTTATGAACCTTTCACTTCACCCAATCGAGTAATAGGATCCAAATACGAGGAGGGGATTACTGCATGTGGAAGAAACCATCATGCCGAAGCCGAAAGGTGAGCAGAGCTGCAGCATGAGTGCGGCCTGATCACATTCCACATTCACATGTTGGGCTAAACTGTCAACGTGGCAGTAGTTGTTCATGATGAAGTGCTGCAACCGTGAGTGAAAATACAATGGAATCTTTCCCTAAAAAGTGCCCGCATTTGTTGCTCATTGCTTTCATTTCTAACATTGTCTCTAGAGCCCCCTCCCCCCTACCAAAAAAGCGAGAAACACCGAGTTGCGCTGGCTTGAACCCCCCGATTTCAAGTCGACTCGAAGTCGCGTCTGGAATGTGAGCAAACATCGGGTGGCGTACCCCAAGAGCGAGTCATCTCCCAACACTGCCGCTCCCTCCACCAGGCTTTGGGCCAGGATGGTGAGTGGCAGCTTTTTCTGCCACGACAGAGACACAAACACGTCATCGAGAGAGGCGGACGGACCTGCGAGGGCGGCCGTCGGGGGTCGTCGTTGGGGATTACCGCCCACGCACGCGACCGAAACACTCTCATATGAAACTTTCTCACACGCACACGACTGAAACACTCACACAAACGGAAACAACTGCAACGCTCGGATGTCCACAAATGCAAAGTTTCTCACGCACATTTGGGAGACTCGATCACGCGCACGTGAAGTACTCTCACGCACACTCTTGTGAAACGCTCAGCCCGAGGGAAATGCTCTGACCTCCAGTGAAATACCTTCACACAAAGAGGTGAAGCGCATTCCCCACGCGGAATGGAAATGCTCTCACGCATTCACCACTGAAATGATGACAAATTTCTGAATTGGACACATCTGCTCTCACAGTCACACCTGAAACGCTGGCGAGGACAACCGAAACTCTTTGGCATAGCCGAGGGAAACGCTCTTACGCGCACGACTGAAAAGCTCTCGTGCCACAAAAGTGACAAGCACTCTCACACACACACATCCACACACACACACACACGCGCGTATTTCAGTCTCGAATAGAACGAGATCATTTCAGTCTCTGAAGCCCCCGACGAGCGGTCCTCACAGAAGGCGACTTGACGGATTTCTTCTCCGCGTCGAGCCCCTGCTGACCCTGCAGGCAGGCCGTCAGCCTCTTGTGAGTGCCGTGCGTCACTTGTTTGACCAGGTCCAGACGCTTCTCCACCTGCAACACGCACACGCTTGAAAGGTGCGCACACGCACAGCAAGCTGACAAGGTACAATTCTTACCTGCAGGAGGTCTTCGCTGAACACCTCGGTTTTTTCAGCCCTAAAGACAAGAAAGCGAGACATTAAACCATGTGAGACCTCCCCACCCCCCCACCCCATAAATGTTAGTGGACATAAAAAGTCTCCACACCGCTGCTGAAATGCTCCGTCATAAAACCACGATGTACCGCCACACCTGCCACCATTTCAAGAGCCTCTGATACAAGCTGAAAGAGAAAAAAAAGTGGCCCATTTCGCCCCATTCCACCATTTTCTCGAATGCTCGTGTGGGTCCGACTCCAAATTTCGTGACTCTCCCCAAAGCCAAGCCGCTTTGAAGACCGCAGCAAATGCGCGAAACAGACGGGAGCAGATTGCCGCGACAAAGAGAGGGAGACCAAAATAAACCCTGGAAATTGGGCACACTGCTTTTGGGGGGAACGTCCAACAGCCACGAAACATCCTCGCGAGCTTTGCTTTCTGGCATTTTCCACACGGGAGCAGATTGCCGCGACAAAGAGAGGGAGACCAAAATAAACCCTGGAAATTGGGCACACTGCTTTTGGGGGGAACGTCCAACAGCCACGAAACATCCTCGTGAGCTTTGCTTTCTGGCATTTTCCACACTTGATTAAGTCTTACATCAGCCATGGCGTCAGAAATAAATGAATGGCATTTCGGAGAACAAATGATTTGGATTTAGCTTGGAAAAGCACGTGAGTGTTTACGATCGCGCTTCGACTGGCGGGCGTTTCCTTCCCACACGCGGGGACGGACCGCATGATGGGCAAAGCGGCTTGATCGCCCTGAGGGAAACGACGACAAAAGCAAGTGCGTTTGTCTCCATTATTTGGAGATGAGGAGCATCGCAGCGCAAATGTCCCGGGAGCAAAGCAAACATGTGGGAGACGCGCCGCCGGTGGTGTGCGAGCGCTCATGATTATCGCTGACCATCTGCCGCTTTGCAGCCGTTCGGCTACCTGAGGCTCTTGATGACTCAACGGGGGCGCGCACATTCGTTGGTTCATGCACAGTCGCAGAGGTAACGGCCGGCATCGGCATAGCGCGACGACATCCGCCGCTCAAGCACAGAAGTGTCCAAAATGTCTTGAAGAATTGGGCTTGAGCCAATCCCCCTTCTCCAGCCACTCATTGATGAAGGCAAAGACGTTTGTCTGGATTAGTGTCTTAAAATCTGGCTGAAAGTGCACGGAACGGCTTGAGGGGCGGGTAAACCGGGGGCCAACCGCACG